TTAGGAAGGGGAAAACACCCAGTCCTACTTACATTTTACAGCCTAATGAAGCATGTTACCTCCTGTAGTTCCTCCCAACTTGAAATTGGAACTGTCTTATTAGCATGAAGGGCAAGAAGAACAGGCCAGTCAGTGAAGTCAGCTTTTCATGGTGGATTCCTGAAATGTCTTCCCCTCACACCTTTGGTTTTAAGCAGATGATGGTTCACTACAGTAAGTAACATCTGAAGAAAGCGACAAATGTTAAGTACATCTAGAAGACTTGGAAATTCCAGGCTAAATTAAGCTTTGCTTAAAAACATAATTTTGTGTGTGTGTGTGTACATGCATGCAAAAATTGTCCAACTTTCCCCTCAAGATGGGAAACATAGAGGAAATCAAAGTCTGTGGTATTACAGATCCCTAGGGCTTCTTCTAAGGCTTTTTTCAAAAGGTCAGTGGGAGCTCTGTTATAAATGCAGTAGCTTGGAGAGCAAAATACGTTATTATTGTGCATTGTTAGAATAAAGATTATTCTGGTTCTTGTTCAATATCTTTTGGCATGTATTATACAAAATCGTCCTCTTGCACAGTCAAAGTTAAGCCCTTTTAACAAGCCCATTGTTTTCAATAAGTGAGATTTAAGTGTGTGCTTAATTCTACTATTGAAACAAATGAACTTTTAAAAGTACTTAGCTTTTAGTGGAATTGTGCCTATAGTTATTATGGGAAGAAATTAGCGAACATTCATATACAGAGCCAGTTTCTAGCCTGTCAGACCCAGTACTACTTTCTGTGGCTGAAGGAAATGTAGAGGGATTTCTAAAGGTGTACCGTTTGTTGATTGGGAAGAATCATTGCAAAGCAGCAGACAAAGGGGGTATGATTGCAGCGTTGTACTGCTGTTTCTGTTCATCAAATTAGTATATTGGCAGACAAGGAGAGTCTTCATCAGGTTGATCTTTTACTCTGATCTGCCACCTTGTGCTACGGTGAGGTGTGAAGCAGGAATAATAAGGCAGAGAAAGTCATCCCAAAACTCATAGGTTCAAAGAATGTAGGTTCCGATAATGCCTTTGCTACGGATGACAAATCTGACATTTGCAATGTATTTTAAAACCTCATTTATTGCAAGCCGTGTTCAGTTGGCGTTATTCTCCAGCTTACGAAAGCCAAGGGCTGATAGATATATTAACAGAGAGGAAGAAACCTGGCTGGATCTGGACACATCAGAGAAGCGTTTCAGTTTAAAGTGTTGTAAATTTAAACAGGGAAAATGGGTAGAGAAAAAACAGGAGTCCACATCGCCCTCTGGTGGCACAATGTTATATCGCATAAACAACACATATAAATCCGCTTTTTCCTTACCAGTCTAGCTGAGTCCCCAGATACAGTAGTTACAGGGGAAGTTAGAACAGAAGGGTTAGGGGAAAGGAAATGAAGTGATTCATGCTTAGTAATCAGTGCTTAGCACCAAAGAAATGAATGGCTGGAAGGAAAACCCCACACACCCAAACAGATATTAGTTTTCAGAAGAACAGTTCTCGTTCAGAATCTCCCCAATATATATTTTTTCCTGCTCTGCTTGTTAACATTGTCTCAACTGGACTATTTTTAGGCCTGTCCAGGAGGCAGCATAAATTTCCCACTTTTCCTTCAAATATTTAAGAGAGAAGGAGGAAAGGGATTAAATTGTCAACAGCAACAAACCCAGTTAAAGTGCACTTAATGCTTTTATTCATATGTAATAATGAATAGACTTAAAAGCAATCAAACTGAAAAGGAAGTATTTCCCCCTCAGTGTAAACAAACTTGTGTATGGACAAGCAAAGGAGAGGGCTGTAGCTCAGTGATAGATCTTGCGTTTTACATGCAGAACATTCCAGGTTCAATCCTTGGCATCTCCAGGTAGGGCTGGAAACAGCCTCTGCCTGAAATCTTGGAGAGATACTGCTGGTCAGTGAGGCAGGGAAGAAAGTAAAACAGAATCCAGGTTTGTTTGTTTTTTAATTGTATCATACCTCATGATCTCAATGAGGCATGCAAGGCAGTTCAAGTATTTATAGCTTTCCAAAATGTGCTGCATTTTATGCCCTTTACATCCAAAGCTGGTATTTGTGCTGGCAAGGTGCAGTAATCAAAATATTAAATACGTGGCTATTGCGTTTTCTTAGCCTAACAGTTCTGGGAGGTCTTCCATATAGCTGCAAGGCAGCACATCCTTGTATTCTCCCTTACTGCTATGTCTGTTAACAGTTTCGGAATCCAAAGATAAACTAGACCATGGGCTTGTGCTCACCCTGTAGGGAGTCCTTCTGGGGGGAAAAATCTTTGAATGATCGATCCTAATGCTGTATCACAAATAGCTTCTCTAGTGCCTCCCTGTTTCAAAGTCTCTTGTCATGCTGCATAAGGGAGAGCATTTCTTTGAGAAACACACGTTCACATCACCCTTGAATGTATATCATGAGCAGAGTGGATTTTCTGATCCTGGCCAAAGTGAAATAGCATCAAATGTCACTTACAGCACTTTGCCTTAACATAAAAAATGGAAGATTATGGAAGGGAAAGACCCTTCCTAGGAGGACTGACTTCCTGGGAGGTCTCCACAAAGACCTGGGTTAGGGTGACATTTAGTCAGTGGAAATAGTGGTTTTCCTTAGGAGAGGAAAACAAGAAATAGAGAAGACTGAAATGTTTGCAGATGCAAACGTTCTTCAGAAAACAAAGTATCTTTCACAGAACCTGGAAGGAACTAGTTGGTTGACCTTAATGAGTGAAATGGAGTAGTTTTTATATTTTAGGCTGTAATCTTAACACATACTTACCTGGGAGTATGGATGGAGGAGGAATTAGGTTCAGTTCACATTTAAATTTAGAATATTTGCGCTTTCCAAGAAGTATGAGAACCAAAACACAGGCAATCTTCAAAACTTGTTCTTTTCCAAGTTTTGGGATGCAGTTCTCCAAACAGAGTTTACGAAAAAACAACAACCCTGCATCCATTAGGAGGAAATGTGTATACAAAATAATACATTTCTGAAATTACATACAAAAATCTAATATATTGTATTAAGATAGGTTGCTTGTAAAAATGTGTACATTAATCAAAACTGCAGACAAAAATGTGCTTATTGGGATAAATTTACAGAAAAATGCTGAAATTTTTTCATGAGGATTTGAAAAAACAAACAAATTGCTGCAGAAATGTGGAGAACAGGGTTTAAGATTGGAAAAGTTAGAATCTGAGAGAACTGAAATGGACGGACCCTTCCATCCCTACCTGGAAGTAAGTCCCATTGAACTCAACAGGGCTTCCTTCTGAGTAGACACAGATAGGTTTGTGCTGTTAGTTACCTTAGTAACTTTCAGCTAGTGTATTCTGTGATTAGGCTACAGAATGCAAGTCAGCTAGCATGACAATGAATCTGTCACACTCACAGTCAAGAGGTGTACTAAGCAGGCAAAACCTTGCATGTAAGATGCCTGAGATAAAATATATTTCCTGCTTTGCTTTTCTAAACCATCATAATGATCTAGAAAGCACATGCTACTTTTTAAAAACTATTTACCGTGTTCTACAGATGTTTCAGTAATATGGCATACACAATTTCACAAGCATGCTTCTGCCTTGAACAGCTATTACCCTTTACTACCTCCCTCAAACTTCCATTTCTTTGGCTAATCCTTTGACTGGCTCATTGATCCAGCTACAGTTTCCTCAGCCATATTGCAAAGAGGGACTTGTTTGCTTGGAAGCAGAGGCACTCTCTATTGGGCAGGCCAGAAGAAGACTGTGATCCTTGGAAAGGCTAGAAAGACCAAAGATGGAAATCTCGCTTAGGGAGGAAGAAGAGAGCAAACTGTATTTAAAATGTGCACAAAGTAAATCACCAATGAACTCTTTACAAATAAAACGGAAATAGGTTTTCATTAGTTCCATACTCACAGTACTTTAATTATAACTACAGGATATATCCCACTATGGCATGCACCAACAAGCCAAACACAGCCCATCATCACCTATGTATCATGGTCCACCAGGTAGCCCCATTTCCATAGTTCTCAACAGGTAGACTTGTTGGGTGCTCCTGGTAAGCTGCCATACATGGTTGGTGGGCTACATTCATCTTGATGAGTCACATTTTGTGCAGGCCGGGTCTATACCATATGATTATCTACTAGCAAGAATCAACAGTTTGAAAGTTTCATTAGGGTTACCATAACCCCCAGGTACAATCCGTCACTGGTGGCAAAATGCCAACAGATTTAAAAGGATCTAGATTGCAACGTTAATAGTTTCCTTAGAAAATATTACTGTGCCCACCTACAATCTCTGGTTAGAGTTTCACCATGGCTTTGAATTTCTGACACAGTCTAATTGGTGAAAGTGTTGAATGACCTTTTTGGGATAAAATGACTTTTCAAAAACAAAACTCTTTCACGGCAAATTATGGAATATGGACTATTTTCCTCAGACTGGAAGAGGGTGATCCAGTCCCTAAAAGTAAGTGCATACTGAGGCGTTAAGGCATATTATTTATCCATTTAAATACATATTTTGGTATACACATTCTTAAGTGCACACAGTTGTGTGGGGTAGATGGGTATTTTGGTCAGCATAATGTTGAGCATTGATTCTGAAAATGCGCAAAAAATAAAATAAAAAAAATCACCCTAAGTTTAGTTGTACTTCTGGATCTGAAACATAATGTAATTTTAAACAAGAGTGAAGAACAGAAAATCCTATCTACTTCAACTGAATTTTGAATAGTTATCTTCCCAGCTAATCTCTTTTAAACCACCCATCAAAATATGTATATTGAGACAACCCTTACTTCAGTTAGCAGCACTACCTGCACCACAGTAATTGCACCTTATTTCGCAATTATTTTGCACCTTATATATTAACCTGGCAACAGCACAATCGTGGTTAAGTGTCCTGATTTGCCAAACAGATTGTCACAATCATAACTATTCAACACTTCGGACAATTTATGCATAATAAGTCCTCATTTGTATCACTTGGAGCTAATCCATTTATTTTTCATATTTTTTCATGACTGGGAGAAATATAATTGTGGTTGATTAAAAATATGAACAGCGATGATATCAACTAGATGATCACAGATTATCATGTAAGAAATAGAAGAAAGCAAACATACCCCACAGTTTAAGGACTAATAAACTCTGTAAAATGTTATTGTAATTTGCGACAATCAACACAATCCACATCAAGTCCCAATAAATCCCAAATTGTACAATGAACATATAGAAAAGATTTACCAAAGAAGTATGGAACTTTCATTAGGGAGTAATCCTATAAACACACAGGCACATGCTTTTTTTTTTTTTTTAACATTATTGGGACTGTTCAGTGCAAAACTGTATGCATGTGTCTGTCTTGACAGAATTAGGCCCTTGGCTGACCATGGTTTCAAAAGGAGCCTCTATGGGACTAATCGCGAAAGCACTTACTGAGCTGGTCCCAGTATCACAGTATGTACTTTGAGAGATTCAGCCCCTGCTTTGTTCTTATGATCTCCTCCCTCCTGAAGAAGCAGGGAGAGGTTTGCACAAAGTTTTCTTCTACAACTACGGTATTTTGCATTTATAAAGTAATCACACCCAGCAACTGCAAAGGAAAATTCAGAGGCTGGTTTGAACACTGGGCTAATAATGCGTTCCAACTGCTCCCACACAAACAAAAAACATTACTAGTCCCTTTCATTAGGTATTATCATGTTCAACAATAAAAAATAAAATGTCACCCTGTTTTGCTGCAGGAATCATCAGACTCCATGTGCTGGGGGAGGATCGTGAAGGCAGTTAGCTTGACTATAGAGTTTGGATGAGCAAATGATATTAAAACAGCTATTGTTGTGCCTGTGAGAAACAATGTTGGATATGCTTGGTTTCTGAGATACCTTTGACTTGTTTCTTATTCCCCAAGAGAGCACTGGCAGAATAATAGCTTCTGCCACCCTGCTCTTTCAACCTGTTGAATGAATTCTAGAACTTTAAAGCTGCAATACAAGAGGGAATACAGAGGGTGGCTTGAGTCAGTCCAACTTGGAGGAACAGGGTGTGCACCCAACTCGCACTTCTTGTTCTCTGCATCTTTGTAGGACCCCACAGGAGACAGCTGAATAAGCTCTCATCGCCCGCCGCAAAGCCTCTGTTACAAAGATGCTGAAAAACAGCCCTTGCAAGTTACCAGTGCTTCCTGCCATCCTAACAAATTTGAATGTCTAGTCACCCCAAATGTTGGGATATTGCACCAGTCCAGTCAAATATTTCCATTAAAAAGTGCCATAGCGCAACACCAGTAGGTCCACAGCGCATGATATGAGACGAAAGTATTTTCTCCTTCAATACAAACTGCATGATATATTATGGTTCTGTCACCTAACACTCTTAATATAGCACTTTATTACTATTTCTAAAGAGCCGTACTATTTCTAATGCGTCAACATTATATTCATGAAGAACAGGAGCTAATAAAGGAGCTAAATAAATTTATAATGTAGGTCTTAGAAGTGGTTTATGTGTAAAATAATTGTGTCGAATCTCCAGCTAGCAACAATAATGTCAGAGCTTTGAGAACAGGCTTTGTTGAACGTTTTATGATGGCGAAATTAAAAGCTAACTGTTTCTATGTAGTCAATGACGTTCTCCTTCCTCCATGTTTCATAGGGTTAGAATGGGTGATGTAATTATTTAATATACCACGGTTCTTTATTCAACAGTCAGTTTACTTGAATTAAAACCACTGTGGTTAGCTGAGTCATCGCTAAATTCCCCTTTTAAGCTTTGATGCCTACGCAAACTCATTCTGAGATACAACAGTTTATGTAACATCATCAGTTAGTTATTGCACTTTGTAGTATAGATCTTAACAACTACAATTAAAGAGGCAAACTGTTAACACACATCCTGAACTGATGAAAACAAATGAATCTTCTATTAAGTAGCAAAGAACAATTTCTCACTATTTGTTCTTGTGAATAAATTCAAATGAAAATCTTTGCACTTATTTCACACTAGATCAAAATTTGTACAGATTCCCTGCTTTTTCAAGTGTCTTTTTTTTTTAATTGGAAGTGGATATGCAGTGGATACAGAGTATCAGCTATCAGATTGCTTATTTTTCTTCTGTTTTCAAAGATGAACCTTTACTAACTATGTTTCTTTCACTAAAGTTTTATGTGGGGGTTATTTTCAATGTCAACTTTCATGGAAGCAGGACTTATAGGAACCAGGGCATTAGAAGTCCTTTCAGAAGAGAAAAATGCAGTTGTTATTCTAACAGGAGAACAATGCTAATGACATTTTGGCAAATAAATATGTAATAGGCATCATTTGAATATATATATATATTCATTCTGATTTCTAATGTTGCATGTAAGATAAACTATGAATGAGGACAAAATAGGACATTTTAAAGGTTATATCCATATGCCTTTGCAGATTGTGCAGCATGATTGATGTTTAACATAACATTTACAACATGTAGAGATGTGGCTGACATGTGGAATAGAGCCACAACAGGCATTTGGGGAAATTCTTCAACCAAATGTTTGTGAAGGGAGAAAACACTGGTATATTTTTTGCAAATCGGTGGCTTTTTTGAAAAAATGGCACTGATATGTTATCATCTGCCTTATGTAGCATTCAAATTATTGTTGTTATTTGTGTGCATGAACATGTGTGTTTTAGAGCATGTGTGTATGATCAAAACTCTAATCCTTCTATAGATTTTCCAGACCTAAGCACTATGTTCTATAAGCCAACCAACCAGATACTGTACAGTATAAATTCAATAGGAAGAACAATACTGATATGTAGAACTTATCACTAATTATAAAAATACAATAAAATAAAGGGATGGTCATTTTCTCTGCAGCCTTATAAAATTCTGACTTTGAATGAACAAAGGAAATGTTACATTCACAAAGGAGTCTCTGAGAGATATCTTCTGCTTTGTACAGGTTTGGAATATGCTTTGAACTTGACAGACTGAAAAATGTACCAGCTATTACTTTTTCTGCTGTGCTCAATGTTTGGAGTAGTTCCTTTACCCCAATGGTGGTTCATTTTACAGCCAATAGCACCTTTTGTCCTTAAGAAAAGATTCGGTACCCTTGAGCTAAGCATCTACAAAAAATAAAATTGAAAAATTCCCCTCCCATTTGTTGGTGAGGAAGCAAAAAGCAGTATCTTATGAAGGCACACCCATGCTGAACTGACGAGAAAATCAAAATCAAAGCATAACTACACAGTGCAGTCATATCACAAGGCTCATTCTTGAAATCTGAGTATCATGCTAGAAGAAAATCTAGGTATGTGATCTAATTTTGAAGAAATGAATCAAAGGCAATATTATTTAGCTTTTTTGTAAAGAAAAATTCTGTGTAAATGAAGATAGACTCTTATTTAAAGAGGGAAATGGATGTTTGTATTGCAGCCTTAAAGATCACATTTTTTTTTTAAACTGCAATATTTGGGTTCTTTTTATGTAAACTACAGTCTGCAAATCAGCAGACCATGACTGAATGTTTTTTTGAAAAGTTATAGATTACAAACATGAACTCACAATTAATATCCTCTAAAAGTAATTTCAGAGCTCTCACGTCTTTTTTTTAAAAAAAAAGAAAGAAGAAAAAGGACAATGTGTACTTCTTCACAAGGTAATGCAGCTAATAAAAAAGAGAGTAGAATTAAAGTATTTACATAATGAGCAATTCTACAGAAGGCGATCATCCCCACATAAGCACTGCTGATTATATCCCACGCCGCTTTTTAACAAACTCTACCAGATTGGATCCAGTCATCAGCACTTTCAAAGAATCCTTAAAAGCCATTCATGGTTCTTTACATTTATTGTAGAACGATGTTCTTCAGGTACATTAAGCTGGTGTAAGAGGACAGTGTCAACACAAGGAACCAGCAGGATAATAGAACTTCAGCACCCCCAGTGATCCCAAGCTGGGTTGTACTTGGAGCTGGAAAAGAAACAAAGAAAGAAAGAAAACAGGTTATTTAGAATCTTTTTGAGCTTTCCTCACTTTTTCTTCTTACAATCAGCTATAAATTATTTCACCAATAGATTTCAAAATAGCAACTTTCAGCAAAGCATAGCTGAAAAGGAAACCACACTTTTGCACCACTAAAATTCCTCTATAGCAAGCAGAATTTTATGATGTAGATGAGGGCTGGTTCACACACTACATTTTTAAAAGAGGGAATGCATATGCTTTATTTCCCCACTTGTCTATTATGGAATCCTGGAAAACGAAGCAGATTCCTTTATGTCATTAGGCAGATAGGGCTATTTCATATTGTATAGAAGGTACATGTTCAAGGATGGCTGTGAAACAGAGAATTTTAGAACTTCATTCTTTATTAGAGCAAAAATGGCTCTTGCTACAATTTCCCTTCTCTCAGCCACTTTCTCCACAGCCTGAGCAAGTATGTTCTTTCCTGGACCTAAAGTGTTGGTATATACTAATTCTTCCCCCATGTAGGACTTTCTTTTATACAAGAAACTCCGCTCTGTCTATCTGTCATCTATCCATCCATCCATCTTAGGCAAACAAAATCACAGTGCAAAATGAACTATGGTGATTATTGCAGAAGAGTGTTCAGTCGTTAAGGTCAAAGGCCACTTCTAGGATTTAACACAGTAGAAAGTAGCCTTTGCCACCAGCTCAGTCTACTGCATAAAACTTTCTTTCACCCAGCTCTCTATAATGTTGAAATATGCTTCTTGTGCAGGGCTCTCACTACCATTTGGCCACCATAGCGGCTCTCTGCTGGAGGATAGACTTGTGTGTGCCCTCAGTTGCAGAGGACCATGTTGACCAATTAGTCGAAGTAAGATCCAGTTGTCAGTTCAGTTGACTTCTGAGCGTTGAATGGAGAGAAGGAGATGCCTTTTTGTTCTTTGCTTCAGGCAGCAAAGGGTCTTGGGGTGGTTCTGTTCTTTTGTATTTAGTTTCAGATGCATTCAGAAGCTGTGGTGGCTGCTCCTCAGTGCTTGGTGGCAGCACTGTCCTCCTCTTCATTGTTGTTTTGTTTATACTCAGACACATTGTGCTGCAAGTGAATGTGTGCCTGTGCATAGGGTTGTCATATTCCCAAAAGTGAAAATCTGGACAAAGTTGTTGACCTCCCCCCACCCCACCCCCAACTTTTTGCTGATTCGGTACAAATCCTCCCAGGTGCCATTTCGATGTGTCCAGGAAAATCCGGACATATGGCAGTTCTGGCTGTGCATAACCTCTGGATTGTGCACCACCAAACTTTAATGTACCTCTGCGGCATCTTGCATCTTGCCTCCGTAAGTGTCTCCACCTGGTATGATCATGGTTCTTGATGTGTGGCTACTCAACTTGGCTGGCAGCCAACCATGGCCCATTTCCATGTAAACAGCACTTCATGATGCTACAGGAGCTTAGAAGTGCAATCCCAGTTGTGCTTTTGTTGTTTCTCTAATTGCTTTAGGATGCAATGGGCTCGCTGTGGTATAGTACACTGTGTGAAGAAGGATAGCATCCTACCCTTCAGCAACTGTTCAGAAAAACAGTCCATGGCTCTCAGCAGTGTGTTCCAGTAAAACCAAGTTGTTTGATCACAGCTTGATACAGCTGTTTTGTGGAACATTGAGTTCATTGTCTGAATGCCTCTCTCAGCTGGTCCACTGAAATGTGGGGGTCTCAAGATTGCAGTATATGTTATTCCCCACTGTATTGCTTGTATTCTTTCCTTGCCTGTAAGAGACATTGTCCCCTGTCAAATATTTGAGGAACACCAGGTTTTGCAAATATGACTTTTTAATTTGGTTGCATCAAAGTGTGCTGAATTATCTCGGAGGGTATTTGGAGGAACAGTGAATTGGGAGTAGGTACAAATGTCTAAGAAATACCTGCAGTTATCTTGAACTGTGATAGGTTACAGATCTTACTGGGGCAAAGCACTTTACACCTTGTCTTGTCTGGAATGACTACTTTGTGACCACTGCTTTGTGATGAGAGGATCTTTTGTCGCCCAGCATTGGCTGCAGTCCAGGATTCATTTGCTTGTCCAGCCTTTCTCTTTCAGCCTCTGTTCTGAACTCTGCATCAGAATTCTTTACTTGCATAATAAACTCTTCCTTCACAAACATCATCTGTGTCATTCCACAGATTCCTGCTAATGTTCTTGATAACAGGCATCTCTTTTTATAGCTTTGCAGTCATGTTACAATAGGCAGAGAAGCATCTTGCAGATACTTTGCCAGAGACTTTGAAAATACAATACTTCCTAAGTAATGAACTTCTAGATGTGGATTAAACAAGCTTCTAGTCGAGGCATAGGCTGGTATTAGGGCTGAGCCACATCAGAGGTGGCCAACTCCTGAGAGACTGTGATCTACTTTCAGATTTAAGATTTAAAATCTGGCAATGATCTACAAGGTTTTCCAGGGAAAGCACTGGGACAAAAAAGAGAATTGCTCAGACAAGGACCTCAAAAGCCCAGAACTTTCCCTAGAAAACATGGAGCAAAAAATTACTGTACATTTTATACTAGATGTCTGACAGCTCTTTATGTATTTCAATTAGGATGGTCAAAGGGGAAAAGTCACTCACAATAATATTGCTTTGAATGAAAACAGCCACAGAGAGAAAGTTCCGCCTTCCCTTCCACTGATCAGACAACAATGGGGGGTAGGGCGAGGGGGTGGAGCAGGAGTCAGTTTCAACGACACTGAGGAAAGGGAGCCAGAGATTGACCCGCAATCTACCAAAACCTTGCAGGGATCTACCAGTAGATCGTGATCGACTTATTGGACATCTCTGCTCTACATGAATCTGGCTCACCCTCACAAGCCTTTGCAATGCGTGAGGGAGATGGGGATGGATTGTCTCAACTTTACTGTCATTGGGGTTGATTACATGTGATGAGAGGACATGTTCCATGCACTTTACTCCTTGGGCCAAGCACTGCTCTATCATGTTTCTCACATTTTCCAGTATCTTGTTATGTTTCTCATGTGTGGATGCTGTTACACTCATGTCATTTGCTATTATGTGCACTTCAATGGTTTCTCCAATTGTGTCATAATTATTTTGTTGAAGCACTTCAGTATTTGACTTAATTCCAAAAGGTAGACTAAGAAATTTGAATCTGCCCCATGGTGTGTTGAAAATACATAGGTCAGCGGAATTCCCTATCCAGTCCATTTTGCCAAATGCATATTTTGCATCCAGAATCATAAAGATGTTTATACCAGCGAAACGACACCGAACATCTGCTGCCATTGGAATGAAATAATGTTGTCCTCTATTCTGGGATCCAAGAAAATCTGCAGCTTGCCATTTTTCACTCTGTCAGTGATGCTCAAGTGCTCAGGCTATTAACCCATGGGGTAGAGAGAGTCATTCTGGCTATAAACCCTTCTTTCTCCAAAAGCTCAAGTGATATTTTTTTTAAAGGCTGTTAAAATGGTATCTGCATACCCCCAATTTGTGCTGGATTTGTGGATCTATGGTTTATCCCACAAATTTTGCCGGGTCCCTAAAAATTCCATTCATCTTTAGCTTGGGGCAGTTTGTGCCAATTCAAGCTGAGATGTGGTCAAGCATCCTGACCTAACAGTAGTGTGGCAGATGATGTGGTGATGAAAAAATTGAAGACTAGTTTTGAATCTTCCTATAGCTGCTATGTCTTGTCACAGGATGAACAAAGCCTGTGAGGTGGTGTTCTCCTTGCCCTCCTGTGGCCTGGCTTTGATCCTGGTGCCTTGAGTGCTATGCTGTTTTAGGACTTGCAGACTTCCAGGAATCTGTCACTCTGTCACCCAGCCATGAACTCAGTCTGTGTGTGTGCAACTTCAGAGGCTCTGCAGATGTGTTACTGCCTTTTATAAACTCAGATTCCCTTAGTAATGTCTCCTTTAGTTTCTTAATCTGTCACACTGAACACAGTTTTGACCCTGAGCATGTATGATCCTCAATGCCCCCAAGTGCACTGAACACATTTTGTTTCTTCCTTTATGTTCTGAAAGATTTTAAATGTTAAAGTTTCTGTTTCTGTTAAATGCGAACGACAGCAGAACCAGTAAACCATAAAAACAATGTTTTTATGATAATGTGATTTCTTAGGATTGTTTAATCTCCATCCATTGTTGGCCCCTTTGTATCTGACTGCTGACCAAGGGAACCCTTCTTCAACCTGGTGGACTCTTAAATAAATAAATGTTGGAAATTGCTCCAGAGAAGAGAGACAGAGCAAAAGAGATTTCATGGTCTCTCATATGATGAGGTTAAATATACAAGAGCATTTTACTGACCATTTAAATGAAGCAATATCATCAAGCTTTTATATCATTATCAGAAAAGTTATTAGCTCTTTAGAAAAGAGATCCAGCAGGACTAGTCCCAGCTGAGGCCTTGCATACTAATGAGATCATTTATAAATAATAATTAAATATACACTTAAAATGCATACTCTTAAAAGATCACATACAGATTGTTAAAATAAAAATTACAGCAACAGCCCTTTCATTAAAAGTAAGCAGCCCTAATAGAGAAGAAAGTTCCAAAGGGCTGATTGCAGCAAGCTGCCGATTCTGTTCCCCTTATCTATACTTAAAAGCAATCATAAAAACAGGAAGAATAAAATTATAGTATGATAAAATAACAATCATCATAGAAAGCTTTAAAAGAATGAGTGGCATAAAATATATTCCATAGTGGAATACAAGGTTCCTATTTCTACCAAACATACCAAATATTCATGAATGTTGCCAAATAAATTCATTCCCACTAAGTATGTTTGCTTATATATGTATATCACTAACAGCCTCCAAGCTGTTACAACCTGCTTCCAGAACTTGAGTACATAGTTACAACTCCACCACATATGCCAATATGTTCCTCGTACATTATAACTTTGCCAGCATAAGGGGGAACCTGATCTCACCATACAAGCTAGTCAGACTGGGGTTTAAAACCAGTAGTGG